TTATCAGGACTTTGACTAAACGTGATGAAAAAAGCAAAATAAGGTTACGTTTTAACTTATAGTTGCACGTATAGGCATTTTCTGGAAGACACGTATGGTCATCAGTTGTCCCTCACCAGTCTCTACGTAACAGAGTAGGCAAAAGACAGCATAGAAAGGACAAAATTGCAGTTAAAACACTCAATTCTCCTAACTCAAAAATAAATTAACCTGCAAACATAAACTGCCCCACAACAACTTTCATTACTCCACAACCTGATGTGCTACATTCCAAAGATGGAAGGGATTAGAATACAACTAATTAGGAAAACAACAGTATAACTATCAGACAGACAAAATGTGTGTATACATATATTACATAGGCACACACAAATGTATATACTCACAAACACACACACGAGACAGCAATTAACAGATTTAAATACTTATACATAAGGCAACTGCAAAGCTGCACAAACCGCAGCCTGTAGCTCTTAACACTGAAAGTCGCCTGAAATTTTAGGGTAGTAATTAACCTCCTGACCCCCAGTTTTCAAGTCCAAGGAGCAGTCCATAGAATTTCTTTTACAATTTATGAACAAGCCAAAGAATTTATATCGCATTGAGAGGATTCTTTTGCTGAATTAACCCCAGCTCCCTCTGACCCTAAGAAGTCATAAACCAACAGGATACAGCAGAGGGAGAATGTGCTATAGTGTTTCAGCTGACCTACAGAGCACTGTTTCTGTCATTCCAAGGCTGAAAACCCAGCTGATGAATTACAGAGCAATATGCTAGGTTCAGATACAAACCTCAGCCCCTTCCCTCTTGTCCTGGTTTTGGCGGGGACAGAATTAACTTTCTTCACAGTAGCTGGTGTGAGGCTGTGTTTGGATTTGTGCTGAGGAGAAGGCTGACAACATACTGATGTTTATAGTTGTTGCCAGGACAGTCAAGGACTTCTCAGCTTCTCTGCTGTGCCAGTGTCTGCAGGGGCAGGAGAGGCTGGAAGCGTCCATAGCACACAATTACTGGCTTAGGATTCAACTTCAGGTTTAGGATTGAGATCCCAATTGGCTCACGATACATTCCATATCATGTACGTCACGCCCAGTACATAAATGAGGGTCTGTCTGGAAGTTCACACTCTCTCTGGGTCCTCTCCCTCACTCTCTTGGACACTCAGGCTCTTATCTGTTTTCTGGGATTGCAGTTTCAGGACTCTCTCTGCTCTGGGATCACTAGCTGGGAACAGGCTGAGCCTTAGTCGTTCAGTGGTGAGCAGTTGCACTGTATACCACTCATTTGTATATTTGCATATATGACTATTATTGTTATTTCATTATTATTTTCAATTTTATTGTAGTTTAATTATTAAATTGTTTTTATCTCAACCCACAAGTCTCTTTTCCCTTTACTCCTTTAATTCTCTCCCCTATCCCTGGGAGTAGGGAGGGTGAGCAAGTGGCTGCGTGGCGGTTGCTGCTAGCTCGGTTCAAACCACAACACCTCTGTACATGCACACGCAGACATGTTCACTCACCCCAAACCAGCTCAGTTTCTGCAAAAGGCCAAGTACTGAGGAATAGTACTAAAGATAAACGAGGGAAGAAAATTGCTTATTGAGAAGCATGCATACATCTCTGAGTAACAATATTTAAGAACACATGCTGCGTACTAAATAAAAGCCAAAAACCCATTGAGCTTCTCTTTTTTGTACATGGATTATTAAGCACATCAAAAATACAGTTCCAAAGCAGAACCAGGAGGGTACCCAAGAACCTCAGCCTTCATAAAGAACAGCTTTATAAATAAAAGGATAAAAATCGATATACAACTCTTTAAAAGAACTCTGCCTGGCTTCATTTTGTAAACACAGAACAAAGCCTCTTATACTAAGTAGCTAATAAAACAAAGTCTAGCTGACCACGCGCACAGAAAATGGGATAACACAAATGTGTGCACCAGGACCTCAAACCTAGTCAGCTGTGATCACTAAGACATGAAGGTCTTTGCAATATTTATACTTATGGTGTACTTAGTTGCACCAAAGCTTAGCCCCAGCTAAAGGCTTATTCACAAAGATGAATCATCCCTTGAAAACGGACAGTGGCTGGCTGTTTCACTTCTAGCTCAGAATGAAAAGTGATACTTTGAAGTCTGACTGAAAAAAAAGGAGGGCACAGTTTTGAATTTATTAATTCAGAACCACAGAATTTAACAGATACCAAAAGCATGAAGTACTCAACACTGCACCATTTAGAAATGAAACATCCATCACTGAACAAAATAAGCTTGTTGAACTAAAAATTTTTTACTGCTCAGAAAATCCCTGAAAAGTTGTCAAGGATTTTCACAATGCAGCAAACTCTATTACTAAGAGCCATCAAATGAGTGCTCAACTTCTTTTTTTTTTTTTTTTTTACTGTTTGCAGATGACACTGATCCCCTTCACCAACAACCCTTACTTTGTTTGGAAATGATGCAAGCTATTCCTCAGAAAGCTATGCTTCCTCAGGGACACTGAACACTGGACAATTTTCTCTTGTGGCTAGTCTACACATACTATGATCATGAACAACTTGGCTGAAGTCTTCAGGTACAGCACAAGTCAAAACCACCACTCCAGAAGTGCAACATAATCTAACTATAGTATTTTCTCACCATACCTCACATAAGGCGTCTTGCCATACAACTTAGAGATTTTTATTTTTTTTTAATCACAAGTCACAACTTCGCAGCAACTCCCCCCTTTTTTTTCCTCCCCACATTTCACCAGGATAATCAGGAAATGAACAGGAATTATAATATACTGACTTCAAAAACAATTGTAAAAATGTATTTCAGTTGATTCTCACAGTAAAGGTTATGAATCACAAAACCCTCCATCAAAAATGTGATTGATCCTCACACTACACGCTCTGTGAGTGTTGGGGTGTTTGGTTTTTTTCCTCTTCTCTGTATCTTCAGGAAGTGGGGAAAAAAAAAAAAAAAAAGAAGATAAAACCACAGCTTAGGGGACAGAAAACTGAAAAGACAGAGCAGGTGAGATTGTGCAGGAAGGATTTTGAAAGGAATTGATAAGGCAGAGTTGTAGAAGGAAGAAAAACAATAAATGGACAGAACTGCTGCATTGTGATTTTGAGTCTTCCCAGCTTTCACCTTCAGTGTCTTTTGTGTCTATGATTACAATATACGCAAACCACCTGAGCAGAATGCACATACACAGGCTTATATGTATGTTTTTATATAGCTACTATTAGGGATAAACATTCCAAACAAAATTTAGCAAAGAAGAGGAGCTAAATATAAAAGCCAATTTTAGTCTTTTATCCTGACTGCAGGACCAGAATAAAAATTTGCTACTGTCCGCAGCAGTTAAATCCAAAAATCACAAAATATATCAACATCGTGGTTTGACCCAGGACAATTAAAAAAACTAGTAAAACCTGTAATCTTAACAGGTGGTCCTGATAGACTGAAGTCATTAACATTTTTCCAAACATAGTAGAAACCCAAATGATTAACAACAGCAATTTTGTCATCTTCCTGCAAACCAAATTTCCTTATGTGAAGTGAATGGAATGTTATAGGAAGGGTATTTGTTAACTGATGTTTTGACTGCCAAAAGCAAATCTATACCGTTCTATGTTGGAAACAAATTATCGCAAAAAAACCCCTTTCAGTCGCCTGCCACTTATTTGAAAAAAAAAAAAACATAAGCTCACAAAATGAAACCTATCAAGTTACAATATGACTAATGTATTTTCATTGTGTTTACAGAAGCATATATATAAAATAACAGGGAAACAGTAATGCAATCTGGGTGGCAATATAAACTAAATTAATTAACTCCAACCCAGGAATATTAGGAGATTAGCAGAATGAGTCAGATGTTACAAAAGAAAATAAATTTTGAGATAAAACAAACTCATTCTAGATTATGGTCTATAATAATGGCCCATTCTAGAACATGTTACAATTCTAGAGCCAATTTTAGATCACTGTTATTCTGGAGCTGATTCTAGACCCCGTTCTACAGCAGATTCTAGGAATCTTTATGCTTCTATAGCATTCTAGAGGCCATTCTAGAGTTGACTCTAGGGCAGATCCCATGCCACTTAATTATTAGAGAGCCCTTTCTAGAGCAGATTCTAGATAACCTTGTGATTCTAGAGCTGGTTCTAGAGCAGGCTCCAGCCCATTCTAGAACAGACTCTAGCTTGTGCTACAATTCTCAAGCCCGTTCTAGAACAGGTTCTAGGACCTCCACCTAATTCTAGAGTGGGTTCTAGAGCATTATTTTCTAAATTCTGGAGTGGAAAATTTTTTTACCACTTTTTATTATTCTAGAGCAAGTTCTAGACTGCTTTATGATTCTAGCACTCATTTTCTAGAGATAATTCTAGACCCCATTCTAGAATGGGTTCTTGAATGCATTATGATTCTAGATTGGCTTCTAGGTCGCTTTATGCTTTTTAGAGCTGATTCTTGAGCCCATTCTAGAGCAGTTTTATGTCGCTTTATTTTTCTGAAGCTTTAGTCTAGAGATGATTCTAGATGGCTTTTTAAAATTACTCTAGAGCCCATTCTAGACAACTTTATAATTCTAGACCAATTCTAGATCACTTTATGATTCTAGAGCCCATTCTAGATCACTTTGTGATTCTAGATACTCAAGGTAGAACATTCTAAATTGGGTAACATGCAGGTTGTGATAAGGTCAGAAGTTATACCTTAGCAGCCACACAGATGAATGAACTTGTATATACATATAAATATTCATATATATATCTCTATATATATATACACACACACACACATTCATACAAAATTCTAGTTGAGAATACAATCTGGTTTTACACCTTAAGCTGGTAAAATGTCTGAACAAGATGCGTGTTAGGCCTACCTGCAAATTTGCATTTCTGTTTGCAGATAGACAAAGCAGTTGACATAGTTATACCTTGTTATATATATATATAGAAAGTCTTCTCTGTTCATTACAATAAACAACACTATACCTGTATGGCTTCTGATATGAACTCTCAGTGTTCCATTGCTTGCAAACTTCTGTCCGCAATATGGGCAAATCTTCTCTTTTTCTCCTGTGTGAGTCTACATGGGGTGGGGAAAGACAAGAATGAAAGTTTCAGCATAGCTTTAAATGAAGTAAAACATGGAATATTTTAACTGTATTGAGATTGACCACTATTATCTCCACTATATATATTATGCCATCACATCAGGCAGAGATTCTAAGGAATTAGCTATAGGTGTTCTTGCAATTTTCTTCTAAAATGTCTAAACTATTCTTATTATTAATGGCAAAATAAACTGGCTTTTCAGTTCATAAGTTTACTATTTCCTAAGTAGTTACTATTAAAAATGCTCAATTCACCTTTGTGTATTTTCACAATTGCAAGAATAAGACACCTATTTTTCAGTTTGATATCTGTGACAGTGTTTTCTAAACCAGCAAACAATAATTTGGTTATCTAATAAAATTAATAAATGGGACTATTTTTAAAAGCTTATAATTTCACAGAATTTTATTATGAAATGTACTGAAAAGAGCTTATCCAATCTAGCATAAGTTTTCCCATTGCAAACTTGAACGGGGGCTTTGAAAGGCCTCTGCAGAGATTTGTGCATAGATTTCTGACTGTCTCATATGAATGAAACACAGTCATCAGTTCATCTGAAGTATGACAGCAGTCCTTCAAAGTGAAGTTCTCAGTGATTTCAGTCCATACAACTCACATACTGGATCCTATCTAGTCTGTAATAAATGCTAGAATCAGATTGCATTTAGAGAATTGATCATGAGAAGTATACTGTAACTGTCACTAACACTAAATCATACACAGAGCCTGTCTTTCAAAATCAGGCTTTTAAGTGAGAGCACCCTGCTGAGACAAAAGTAATTATTTCAAAATGGAAAAAAAAAAAATCACAAACTCTCCCATCTAACCTGTGTGGTCAACAGCAAGACCACCTTGAAGTAAGTTATGTACATGAGTTCTCATGATTTTTCACCCTGTACTTTCAACGCCCAATTCTGAAGTGAAGATTTATCAGCCCATTAAATAATTTTTCTTTATGATTGAGACTGCTCTTTTAGGGGAGAATTTTGGATTACTTCATTTATAAGCGTTAATTTAAATGAGATAGGCAAGATAACACATTAAATTATACGTACACCAGACAATTTGGGTTTCAAGCTTTGCACGTGATTCTCTTCAGATAGGGAAATTAATTCTTATTTTTATGAAAGATATTGAAGTGACGTAAAAGTCTCCATTACATCATAAAAACCTTATCACACATAGTCCATGTTATGTTGCAGCAAAAGTAAATGAGATATTATTTCAATCCGGGACAGACTTGCATAGTTTTCATTCCCTGACAGTAGGGATATGAACGTTAAATACCTCAGTTACACAGAGTTCTTTACAAATCACTTCTATCTCTAACAGCAACATTGTGGGATACCAGACAGACAACTATTAATTCATTCCAAATAGCCAACAAAGCAAAGGATTTCCGGAAGCAATAAATTACAACAACAAGGCTTACAAACATACAGCTAGGCCTAGACTGACAGCAGCACAAAGCAACAGCAATTACAATTACGAAACAATGTCAAAGAAAAAATACGGATAAATGATAAACGGTAGCTGCTTCCTATTAAAACAGAAATACATATATGTATAGGGCCATTTTTAATATGAAATAGTAATTCATACTGAATTTTTTTAGACAGGAATCTGAGGAACAGAAGTTTAAAAATTTAGGCAGAGCTCATCAATTATTCCAGATAATATTTTTGATTTTTGGATCCTATGATCCATTCTTGGCAAGATCCTTCACTAAAAAGTTAATCTGAAATCAAAATATCAGTATTATAGGCTAGGTCTGCTATCCAAGTGATTAAAGCAAGTAGATAAGGATGAAAAGGATTGCGTGTCTGACAAGCAGTCTGTTTTTTCCAAACAAATCAGGGTGTCTAATGAAAGACACTAAGCCTTCCTAAGGTAGGAATGTCCTTTATTTTTTAGTTCCTTAGACCAATATATTCAGGCTTAAAAAACAAGTGTCCTTTAATACTCTTTATTCTAAAAGTAATATAAGAGAAGAGAAGAAGAGTATCCTAAAATACAAAGTTCTCTATTACAGAAAAACTCAACTTATTGCACCGGCTGAACAAGAATTGACAAGCCCGGTTATTTGAAACTCCACTATCTTACAGGACATGTACTGAAATCTACAAACAAGGCAACCCCCTGTCATTCTAGTTCTTCTGAAGTATAGGTGAAAACCTTCCACTAAGTGTATCTGGGAGAAATACATCTTGCTTACACAGCTATATCACTCAATCAGAGGAAATTTTATTTTCTAGCACCTATAATCGCTAAGTAACTTAATGCATATTAAATATGAGACAAGCAGCATTTAAAATAGACTGAAGACAGACAGACAGCAAATGCTTTAACATACATTAAACAGAAGACCAAGACCTTTAAAAGACCACAAAAGAAACCGAAACAACTTTGTTCCTAGTTTGTTCCGTTACTTTTTGCAATTTGTAAACATGTTAAAAATCAAGCACAAATTAAGGAGGCAGTGCTGTCTATTACATTAGAGAATTCAATAGCCTGGTCTCTGCCAATAACTCGATTTAGGCTCTAAAGATGTGTGCTAGTTCCCACATCTGTAGGACATGGTAGAGACATTGAAAGACTCCCTCACATTTTTTCCTCAACTTCAAATATAGATGTGCTGTAATGCACAGTATTCACCATAATCATGGGCTGAAAATATTGTTCCAACTAACTCAGTTACACTCCGTTTTGACATTACAGTTTTACATGCATACACAAAGTGCATACTATACAGCAAACAATATATGCACAATGTTTTTCAACAAATTCTCACATGCTGCATTTGGTGGATGATATTCCTCAGCTGCTCTGTTCTTGATTCTTCTTCCCTGTAATGTAAATCTTACCTCATGCCAAACTAGTGAGCAAGCACTCTTCTAAGGTGTACCTCATTTCCATCGGAGAGATCAGTGGAAAGGAGTACGGCAAGAGCAGTGCAGCAAGCCCTGTCCTGCTGCACACCTGATGCTGGAGTACCTACACTGGATTTATACATACGTACCCACTGCAGATTCTGCATGCCACCAATAACCCCACCATTGCAGTAAGCATTTTAGGATGTTAAGCACCATCACAGCTTTCCACTGAAAAGCCAGAAATACAGATGCATTTGGGGATCTTATGTTTAGCCACAACCTTAAGGAATGAATATGATAGAACTGATTCTACTCACTTTTTTGTGACTCTTCAGGACTGATGGCGTCACAAAAGCTTTGTCACAGAGATCACACTTGTATTTCTTATGTCCATCATGTACAACTTGGATATGAACATTTAACGTGTCCTTTCTTTTAAAAGTAGCATCACAGTGATCACACTTGAAGGTCCTCTCACCTTATAAAGAGGAAAAAAAAGGTTTAAAAATACCAGATTTTTGTGGAAATACACTAATGCTTATTAGAAAAATTAATAAAAGCAAAGTCCTTGTCAAGGGAACAGGAAACTATCCTGCTAACAAAGTGAAGTCATTACTAATTTTACTGAAGTAACATGCAGTTTTCTACTGCTTCAAAGGAAAAATACTCAAATATTTTCTTTTGTAAGTTACTTTTATAAGAATTTCTAAGCTTAAAAGCTTCATGGATTTTTTTAGATGGTCATTTCTTTCTTTCTCTCTCTTTCCATAACTTAGCTACAAGTCTGAAAATAAATTGGAAAAAAAAAAAAAGGAGCAATGCCACACATATTTTTAAAAAATTGCCATGTCTTCAGAAGTAAGAAACACTTGTATGATCTCCATAAATTTACATGACATCATTACAGTTTAAGAAAAGATTTGACATTTGTTGAGTTTCAGAAGGATTTGTCCCTCTTATCCTCAAGTTTTGTTTGCAATCATTCCTATCGTTCTCAGTATTGCACTTCTGTTATGATTTGAGAAGACAAATTACTTTCAAACAACAACACAAAATAATAAAGTGGTAAAAGATCAACCAGTTTTCAAATTAAAAAAATTTCCAAAGTCAGGGAATTTCAGAACTAACATACTGTTCAACCGTATCTCCTCTGTGTGTACACATTACAACAGTCTCCAAGTATATATAGTTGCAATGCCAAGTACGTACTTCGCCAAGCCCTCATGTCAGTTTAGCAAAATTTTTCAACGTGCAAAGTAAAGGCAAGTTACAGTTACACAGCTAGAACTGGGTAAACTGCAAAAGGAAAAAAAAGTTTAGAGCTTTTTTTTAATCATTTGTTAGTTAGACATATTTGATCTTAAATTTTGAAAATTATATCCATGACACCTTTTCCAATTTCAAGACAGGAACATCTGAGAAGTGAGTTTATGAAATATACTTCTTTTTCCAGTACATTTAAGTTTGCAAAATAAAATTTAAGTCATTCTACATCATTCAGCAGAGTGCCTGCTTGCAAAACAAGGAGATACTGAATTTAAAAGAATATACGATGTAGGCTGAACTTCAGTTTTTTCCTAGAAGTTTCAAGCTTCATAAACAATTTTTTTCTTTCCTACAGCACAGAACAGTAGAGACAGCCAAACACATCTAAAGATTCTGTTTTGGTTCTCTCCTTTTATTACAGCAACAGGTATATTTCAGTGCTATGAGAGGAATGATCATCCAGCTATAGCAGGACAATGACTATAAACCTAAATTATTTCAAATATGAGAAACTCATTATCACAGCAGCACAACTTGTCAGTCTTGGGTCATGAAAGGAAGGGTTCTACGTTTCTTCCCTGGGAACACAAGCTCTTCTCAGACAACAGCAGAGCCCTTCGTTTTAATCAGACTTGAACTGAAAACTGTTTATTCTTCAGTTCATCCTAATAATGACTTTCACTTTTCGTTTTGCTATTGGTCTGTCAACACTTCTTTTATAGGACTACAGACAAGAGAGATGCAGTATGACTATACAAGCTTTGCTTATATTCTGCTGTATTAAGGCCTCATTGTTAAGTTAGTGAGTTGATGGGTCGCTTTTTTTCCAAAGTAAGAAAAAAAAGGTTTAAAAATCTTCCCTGTGATTAATAAAATACCTGAATATTATTGGTTTAAGGCTTTGACTCATTTTGGAGACAGTTTTAGCTAAGATGGCAGAAGTTATCACCTTCACACACCTACTCTGTCCCTCAGCAAGACGCCTCCTTTTGCACCAAGGAAGAATGACTAGACAATGTCTGTGCCACTGCAGTTCAGTCTGATACATTTCGTATTTAATATTATTTGCCACAAAACACAAGCCTAACTCAAAGCCCTCAAATTTCTTGAGCTCCCTCCTCTTGAAAAAAAGTCAAAGTATATGTTTTTAAAAGGACCTTTACCAAGGCCTACGCTTCTGCATACTGTAAATTACTGCTTTTGTGTATCCCACAAATGCTTGGTTCATTAGAATACACATTACTGAATAGGTTTTTAACTTTTTCCTCCTATCATTTTTAATGTGTAATGTCGGAAAAAGATTTTACAAGATTCAATGCTTTGTGAAATTGCAGAACTTTTGAAAGATAATTGCAAAAGAACAAACTAAACACATCAGTCTAATAATTCATCTAACAGAAATGCTGTTATACTGGATTAAAAAAAGAAAGATTTGTGGGGTTTTTTAAAATTATACCAACATATATATACCCCAAGGCAAAGCACTATCTTCTAAGCTACAAAGATTTTAGATCATGAATATTTTTTCTAAAAATCTAAAATGCTGACATTCACATGGTTGAATGGTAGTCTAGGGCTCTGTAAATATTAAAGAAAATTCCACTAAAAATAAATCTTTATGCAGTCAGTGAGAAACAGTACAGAATGCCAAGAACAAGTTATTCATGAGGGGAAAAAACCACAGCACTCCTCTGGGCTGCTACTTCTACACTAGAGACAGGAAACATCATCCTGGACTGCCACAAGAGAGCAAAATCTCAGTTTCAAGCTCTGAAACAGATTACCTACAAAAGCTGAGTACACCACCAAGTTATCCTTGCTTCCATTTCTCCTTTCTTAAAATGGAGGTAACACTATCACACCTGATGCAAAAAGAAATCTCTTGTCATCAGACATCAAACCATTGCTGGATTTTCTATAGCACATTTGGATTTGCATTTAGGTGCATTTAAAGACAAGGTTTGAATTGGGCTCTGAATTTTCTAACTCCCCAGGGTTAGATTTGAATCTTAATAGCAATGTAACACAGCAAGTTGCATTTTGGAGCAAGGTGCCATATGTCTGTTTCTCTCAGTCAAATGTGAGAACTGAGTCCTCTCTGACTTAGTACTTACTGTTATGGATTAGCAGATGTCTTTGGAGAGAGAACGGGGTTCGGAACAAAGCTTTGCATTCCTCACACTGGAATGGTCTCTCTTCAGAATGGGTCTGCAGATGAAAGAAAACACGTCAGAGGAAAGGCGGAGGGAATTCAATTAGCTGTCATTACAGTAATTATAGCTAATATTCTAGACTGGATTCAGGAGGCGATATCATGGCAATTTGAAACATCAGAGACAAAGAATTAAAACAATCATTCTGCCATTATCCATAATCCTGAAAATCAGCATAGCAGCTACCGAATAAATGCACCATTTCAGTCCTCAGAAGTGTTGCAGGAGGTGTGCATGCAAACAGAAGCCAAAACGTAGGATAACCAGGAAAAAAATAGAAGCTCAGTTGCACTCATTCATCAGTTCTAACACTGGCCTTAAGTACTTACTAATATGAATAAATGCTTTAAAATTAAACACATATACACAAAATCCTCTTTCTCAATTAAGTTTGAAGGTAAAGCTGATTTGATTATCTCAAGATAGTATCTAAAATTTAGCAAAGAAAATTTCTCAAATCATGAGACTAGACTTACATATCCTTGTTTCAGCTTCTTATATTAAAAGAAAAAAAAAAGAAAAAACAAAACCAAAAAACTGTAGAAGTATCAGTACTGATATTTTGTTTGCTGTCGTAAAAATTCAGCGTAGCTGAGAGTCTCAAATAAAATATAAATAAAAGGTTAAGCCTGGATGAATCTCTCAAACGAACTGCAGAGCTGCTGAAGCAGATTTCTTTTCTGAAGCTTGGGAAACATCCAGCTTCATTCTACTTTTGTAAATTTCAAAGCACTTTCCCTGTTTCCCAGTGTTATTAAGTGCTGTCCCACTATAGAGAGGAAATTAATCCGTACAATTTATTATCTACCCAATTTCCTACTATTTTTGCAAAGAAAAGCAAGTTTTTAAAGCAACAGTGTCTAACTATTGTATTAGCTCACAATGACCTTAAGTAGGAGCTGCAGTCCCAAGAGGAAAAGGGGATGGTCAGCAAGTGTATTATAACAGGCACCAAATTACGTAAATTAGTAAATTTGGTAGACTAAGGGTAAACATTAGCATAGTACATACTTATATAATCCATTTCTGCTTCATAATACCATATGAGATGTATAGCTATCCTTTAAACTGGGGAGACAAAAGGGACTGTGGGGAGTCAGCATAATTATTTAGATGCAGAATCAGGGCCTTGAACCCAGATTGATTTTAAGACATACACAACAGTACCAAAATTAATTTAGAGTACTTGCAATGGTATACAGAGGCTTTGGATTCAAAGCCAATTCCTTGACCTCAGCCTATATCACTTAAAGCAAAAAGGCAACTGAAGCACCATCAAATGTGTGGAACATATCACACATTACATAAAACAAATGTTTCAGTCCAGCTTCCACAGGTTTACATTACAGTTTGTGTTAGATGACACCCTGCTTAACAATCTCAGCAGTCAGGCCAAGGATTGACAGGACATGAAGAGACTGAACTACCTTCTCACCTCAATAGGTGGTTCCTCCAGAACAGGGTTGAGACATATTGACGAGACACTGTGGGGAAGCTCGCAGTGCTGCTGTCTGTGCTGTACCTGTTCTGTGGATAAATAGAAGGGTTCAGTCTCTAGGGCTGTCAATCTGGCACCTTTCACGAGCGCAAAATTCATGTTGTCTGTTTAAAAAAATGCCCTGTTTTAGAACACTCACCACTTGAGGGATAGTTCTCAAGAGCACAGTTATTTGTACAGAATTCCTTCTCAGCATCTCCTTGACAGTTCTCCTAGTCTTTTGATCAAAATACATGTATGCATCTGCATTTCTTAACTTCACTATAAAGAAAACCACAAAACTAGGCACAGCCACATGCAAGCATACATAGATTATCTGCCCCTTTTGCAAATGATCCAGAAACAAGCCAGGTCTATTACAAAAATCCACGCAAATCTTAATGAGAAAGAGGTATTCCCCCAAAAAAGCATATTCACTGTAACACTGTCCTTTTTTGTCCTACTAATAGGTTCCTGATCAGAGAAGAGAGAAGGCTTCCATTTAGAGCAGAGGACAGCCCCATATGATCACAACAGCTGAGGATGAGCTCTTACGGAATATTTCACAGCAGCCTTTCTTACCATAGCATTTGTGGAGATTTAAACCCAGCTCAAGGCTACTTATTCCCAATAGAGAAACTGAGGGAATACAGTTGCTTCAATTCATTATGCTCCCCAGGACCAAATAACCCTGGATTAACCATAAACCCTTTAAAATCCTGTGTCTGCTGACCTATTTCTGCTCACCGTTATATCCTCATACTTGACTCTCTGAACTCATCCTCTATACAGAGAAACTAAGGAGCAGAGAGAACAAAACCTTTGTTTTCTCCTGTATGGAAGTAATCTGCATTATATGGCACAGAACATGCATGTTCATCCAATCTAACCTGGACGAAAGGTGACTACTCTTATCTGTAGTACAATCCAATGCTAGATTTGCCTCTTAATTTCAGGTACTATTCTCTTCCCTTGTCACAAATATGGAACCTTATTCTTCATATGATCACCCAGTCATTTAGTCTGAGCTTTTTCAAAAGACATCTGAGCCAGTTCCACACCACGTAACACTTATCAGTGCTGACATCTCCAGGCAAGTGACAAAGCAAGCTTGCACACGCACCTACACGGAGCAGTGTAGTACTTGTACACGGAAGCAGTACATCAGAGAGGTACCACAGGAAGACTAACAGTTCCTGCCTCTCAGATTTGTAGCTATAAGGGTGTAATGAGTGCTAAGTCAGGGTTCACATCACAATGCTCCATCAAACAGAGCAGATACACTCTTAGCAACTCCACTGTTTAACTCCCTGTGAAATCCTGTGAAATGTGAGGAACTAATCTCCTTCTGCACCTTTGAAACGACCCAATATTCACCCACATCTGAAAGATGTTTAAAAGCACTTCGTGCAAGTAATTTTTATCCTGATACTTCCAACACAAAATCAGATTAAATAACCTCATAAAGGAATTGTAGAAACAACAGCAATAACAAGTTTCCATCTAGAACACAAAACAAGCATTCAAAGGCACAAAATGTATATGGTTTCTTATTAGAAATAACAAGTATGTAGCTCTGCTGTAAAACCCAAAGAGGTTTTTCAAGCACATTGCTATCAAAGTTGAAAGCATGTTTCCTGTTAAATGCTGATGATTCAACTGTTTTTAACCCATCACTGCTACTGCAGGTTTCTAAGCTCCCTGTTACTAGCACAGTAACTGCATCCTGGAAGTCAAAAAAGCACTGCAAAAGTATTTAGAGGCCAACTTTTCCTCCTCCAAAAGAAAATGAAACACAGGATGACTTCTTAAAGGAACAGACACCTAAAGAATCATTAAAAACCCAATCTGAAGAAATACACAACATAGGTTCAAATTTCCACTGTTATTGGATCAATATTCCTGTGAACAAGCAAAAGAACTATCATCCTCTTCCCCTAGTAGTAGTGCAGCCCTCCCAAAATCATGGCATTTAAAACTATTTTGGCACCCCAAACTACCACATCCTTGACTTACACCTTACAGTTGGTTTTGCGTACACACATCCATACTTCCCTCTGGTATCTACTACCTTATCCTTGTTTACTCAGTGGAGAGAGAGAGAGGTGTCTAAAAAAGCAATTCAGGACATCTATGTCAGCGCCCTGTCTCTCACGCTCATCTTTCCATTTGGCAAGTTACATTAGAGACCTAAATGCGGATGGGTGAATATTCACAGCTGCTTGGGTAAACTTTAGGTAAATACAGGAATAAGTTTCTGATTTACAGCCAGTACTACGTGCAAACAGGTTCAGGAAGTAAGTACTCCGACATGCTTTAAGGAATTCTGTCAAAATTAGGTACTCACTAAATCTGTCTAAATTTTAATACTTTTTCCATTAAACGGAGCCTCTAATCCTTGCTTATGCTAGTGGTGCTGCTGCTTTTAATATAGAAGCAGGTCAAAGTGTTTACTCATTCATACTTAATCCTGAAGTCTGTTTTCAGCCCAACCTCCCTACCAACCATCAACTGCAAATTAACGTAAGGAAACATGTAAAAAGTATTAATTTGAGATAAAGAAGTACGTAGTATTTTATACATTTTTCTCAGAATACATCCAATTTGTGAGATTCTGCCCCATTTTCTTAATGAAGTCTAAAACATAAGATACAATCACATCATATATGGGAAGCTAATCTTGTGCTTCAGCAGGCTTCTGCGTGCCTTCTGTTTTAGGCAGTCATCACCATTTCATCCTATGAGAGGCATTATTATTACTCTTAGATGATTTATTGCTGAAAGTGCAAGAGATGGTGCAAAGATCCTGTGCCAAATTCCCAGATGGCATATAACATGAGCCAAACTGCAAAAGACTTGTAAGTATGGGTATATCAGTTTCATCAAAAGGGGGAAAGAAAGGCTCCGGGAGTATTTCAAAAATGTAAAAAAAAAAAAAAAGAAAAAAAAAAAGGTTTCCAAATACTGGGCACAAAACCAGACAGGTTTTTCTTGCTTGCTTGCTTTTTTACAGTCTTGTAATTCTAAAACAGCAGTCATGGATATAGCCTTGCCATTAAAAATGTAACCCCAGGTTAAATATAATGACAGGCATTATAGAAATTAGGCCAAGCAGATTTGAGCTTAAATCAGTAGAAGCAGAGCATCCCTTCATAAGCCTATTTCTCAGGTAATGTTTCTTCTGATGTTGTTCTAATGTGTGAACACTACTCAGTACAAATCCAGTATGGTTTGAAAGCATCTGCTGCTAAGTCCGACAATGACTGCAACAGGACTACACTTAGATTTATCCAAATATGGTATTTAAAAAAAAAATTGAAGACATTTTAGATCAGTTACATTTTTAACTTGATAATCTAATATTTAAAAAAAAAAACAAAAACAAAAACAAAACAACAACAAAACCAGAGAAGTCAAAATGGGGATTTATTTGCTTTTAATCAAGTCACTGTGATTTCCTTCTGCTTATTTAATTGGATTTTTTTTACTAGAATTCATTTAGTATTTTGAGATTTTTGGTTATAACAGAGAACACTAAAAAATACATTCTCCAATACTTTAATCCCATGTTTATAAGCATGCCAGAGCTTAATGATGAACCATTTAAAAGAAAAAAATCTGCAAATCTGAGGCTGGCAGACCTGTAAACAACAACAGCAGAGTGCTTTACCTTCTTGTGATTCTTGTAAACATTTCTGTGGGCAAATCCCTTTCCACAAAGCTTGCATTTATAAGGTTTATCTTCACTGTGTATTATTTTGTGTGCAGTCACTTGATCAAGTCGTTTGAAGGACTTATTGCAAACCTCGCAGGTGTAGGGGCGTTTTTCTGCAGAAAATGAGTGGGGGACATTTAATCTCCTGTTTATACAGGGGGAGAAGATGAAAGGCAGAGACAGTCATCTCCTCAGAGAGATTTTTGCAATTAAGTCAACCCAATTAAGATTAAACCAATTAGAAAGACATCTAATGCCCTTTATGTTAGACAGTTAAGTCACTTCACAAAAGATGAGCCATGGTGTATCTCAAGAAATTGGCACATTCTTTGCAATAATCATTGCTAAAACTAAATTCTGATTAATTAGCTTAAATCAAAAGAGAATGACTTCAAAGAGGAAAACCCTGTTTCCAAGATGACAAATGTGAAAGAGGGCATGACAGTTTAAATGTTTTAAAACTTAATTAACAATATACATATTAGCTTCCAAAACCAAAAGTTCCTATGCAAAAAGCCTTTATGCTTCAACTGGTGACTGCAACTCAACTACATTAATGCTCGTCCAAAAGTGTCAAAAGAAAGCTAGAAGCCTCTGAGATATAGATTATGGTACAAGAAATGAGCTTTTGGTGTGGACTGATACCAAGAAAACAGTTCAATTATCAGCCTGTGCAGCTATAAAAATCTACATTTTTTTATGTTAATGTATTTGACAGAACAATGTTTGTGTTTCCATTGTATTGGCTGGTGTTTCTAATCACTGGTGAAAGACACAGAAATGCTAGATTGCAGTGACCAGAAATCCTGGCAGAGCCAATTGTGTCATACTGCCAAACCTACGGACAGGCCACTCCCCACTCACATTGACCTGGTCTGGCAGAGGACAGGCACAATGCAACATCTGTGTGTGGTCTACAAAACGCTGTGGAGCATGAGCTGCTTTCCTCTGACTGGAAACTATATGTACTAGTCTACTAAAATATACGTGTATACGAATGAATGTTTCCCTTTTTATCACAGATCTCTCTGACAGCATACCCCAGCTCCCATCCCCTTCTCTTCAATATGAAATTTCAACCACCAATTCTTCAGCTCCTCTGTAATCCAAATAGCAATCTTTTGCCCCATCCCAGCTAACTGACATCATTTACCCCAGCTAGTATGAAAAATAGCTTGACAAAGCAGCAGTAGGAAGAAGGCTATAGCATCACACTTGGATTTTTAGAAGGCTTAGAAACAATAGCTTAGATGGTTTCCTTGGAACCTGAGATTTGCTTGAACAACTCAGGACAGCACAGAATTCATCAAGCCTTCTATAAGAAACTAATTCAGGTAAAATTCAACATACATCAATACATACACATACATATATAGATTTGTGTTATTTTTGTACATTACCTGAGTGAGTTATCATATGGCGTTTTAGCTGGTTAGCCGAAATAAATTTCTTGTCACATTCCTGACACTCAAAGATCTCATGGACCTGCAAAATGAGTGTTTAATGATAATTAAATACGTGTCTCAAACAAGATCACACATCTTACACATACACAAATTCTCTAGCAGACAGTACAGCTACTAGATAAGAAATAGTTACAAATACTCATGGATATTCTGTGATTTCCCCCTTGCTAGTCCCTTGGTGAACAACAGGATCCCTCAAAAAACAAACATTCATAATTTTAAACAAAAGATGTCACTAAAACTATATTTAGAAACAGAGGTTATGTAAATATACAATATCAAATCCATTTAAAATAGCATTATCGTGAAAGCACAAAAAAAATAGCTGCAGGATAACTTTTCAGAACACTTCTGTCTAGTCAATAAGACATAAATAAAAACAGTACAGTAACTACTTCATAACTACTGTAAGAATTTTCAAAAATCAAACTCTGTCTTTCTGTGAGTAGAGATAAATCCTGAAAATCTGATTAACCACAGGGGTGGTTTTAAAATTATTATGCTCCATCAAACCACTTAGGAACACTAGGATATAGCAGGTCTTAGTTTCATTCACTTCAGTATATTTCCACTTCCAGGTACAACATAGGCTGCACGCACATCCTGCCTGCCACAGGAAGGACATACACCAGCACAGCTAGGCACCACATACCCTTTCTGTTGGCAGTATCTACTGTCTGTTAAGGAACAGGGCAAAAAAATCTAATTCCGAACAAAAGTCAATGTCAGTGTAATTATACTAGGAAAATAAATTATTTCACTGCTTTCATTATTTACTCTGGTGAATAGAGGCAACTCATGCAGGAAAGGAGCTTATTACAATCGCAAACCCTTTCTAAAGTGAGGCAAGAAATTATGATATGACAATTATTGTTTTTCTTAAAAGCTTTTAGAAGCAAGACAGTGGAAGAGCAGCAGTGCCTTTTAAACTGTAGATGCAGCAAGCATTAGGATTTTCAACATCACAGCACATAACATCAACAACTAAATGCTGGAAAAAACAGAAGTAAGCGGTTAAGAGCTGCAACTTCTGATACTCAATTTAAAAAAATAATCCTGTGTTACTGTTCCCCAAAATCACAAAACATACAAAGCTCTCCACCTGTCACAATTCCCATTCACCTTCTGCTCTGTATTGCATTTGCCATTGGCAGCCTCCCCTCAACTTAGTCACAGTGTAGCTGAACATACATTTCAGCTTTTTTGGAACTGCAGCTTTGGACAGCAAAACTTCCAGGCAGAGATCACATTTCATAAAGCTTTTTTAAAGAGTTCTATAGGCTTTCTGTAGGAGAATCTAGCAGCTAAAAATAACAAATATCAATGGTTCATCACAATACTCTAGTGAAAAACATTGGCAGACAGCACAGTAAAAAAGACTTCCACCTAAAAATCAAAAGAAAAAAAAACACCCCCCCAAAAAAACAAAGAAACCCCACACAACAGAGTCTCCACAAGAATTCTGCCTCACCATGTTTTTATGCTGCTACTCCCAAACTAACTTTAGAGCAAATTAAACATTTTAATAAACTTAAAAGTGGTTACGCCATTTCCTACAGTCTCTGCAAATCTGCACACTTTGGACAGTGACGTTTAACCAAATGCTCAGACAGAATCAGGTGGTGAGCTGTAATGAAGATCATTAATTTTAAATATCCTGTTTACTCAGCTACATTTCAGATTGATTTCTCTTACATGCACACACAATCTACTACTCTATCCTGTTGCAAAAGATCTAAATTTTTACTTACATTGTTGACTGAAGTCTGCATAATTCTGCAACCAAGTACTATCAGAATCCCCCCTCCACAGTTACCCGAAATAACTTGTAAGGTGTTCTTAAACATAATATTTAATACATGAGAACCCAGATTGTGCTTTAACACTAGAAATCTCTCTGATTTCAACTTACCAGCATTGTACAATAAACAGTCTCATTCAATAAATGTGTCGAATCAGAGACTTGCATGCATGTGCATTAAAAAGCCACAGCTATCAAATATGTATTCTATAGCTGGTACTCTTTAATCAATTATTTTAAAAAGAATCAGACTCAGACTTGCGTGCACATGCATTAAATAGCTGTAGCTATCAAGCATACACGTTCTATAGCTGGCACTCTTTAATCAGTTCTTTAGAAAAGTGCACAGTTACATGGTAAAACAACAGTAATAAAATATAGCAAATATTTTTATGCATAACGATATTCAAACAGATCTATAACCATTTTCTTCACCTTCTTTCTCTGTGTTTGTCAGATTTCTCTCTTTATGGGCTTATTTTCTGTTATTTCCCGTTCTTTAGCCTTCTGTTCTCTAGTTTTAGTTCTTTACAGTGACAATAAGGGCAGGGGGGGAAAATCCTTCTCTCCTCCCTGTTTCACCTAGTATTTTCTTACCAGTTTTATTGCCTGTCTAAATGGTTTTGGTGATGTTAGTGATAGATTCCACTCCCTCTCTCCCCACTCCACTTCCTACAAAAGCAAAGAAAATCACACAAACACCAGGCATGAGTCCTATGCACAATCTCCTTCACTATCTGATGCATATGCGTGAATCTGGAATAGCTGTTTTCTGGATGTCTTACAAAGAGGAACCAATCAAGAAGAGGAAAAAAAGTTTCAAGCACAAAATCTCCATGGTGATTCTTAAGATTAATAAGTGCTCAACTGACCTTCCATCAGCATTATTTGAAAAGCTAGTTAGTGTGTGTGATAGTCTCTGCACAGAATTACAACTACTGAAACAAAACAAACATTTTAACAAAACGGACACACTAACCATGATATTTTGCATTTTGGGGGCCATTGTAAGGTGCACTGATGTGCAAGAATTGCAGTTACACGCAGTGAGGCATACCGTGATTTGGTCTGAGGAGTAACAAAGTATAACCCTGTTAGACAAGAAATGCAGGGCATATTAATACAAGCAAGGAGAAAAACAAATTTAAAAGGAGGGGCCCCACCATTTCCTTTGCAACAACATATTTTAATTGATATCATCTATACCCTCAATGGATTCAGGTTATAACCAGGGCATTATTAAAGACTTACAGTTAATCTGATAAACAGTACAATGCAGCTTTTTGTAAAAACAGGATCTCTTGGGTTTTAGTGATTTATCAAATTAATCTTGCAGGGACTTCCTTTGGGTATAATAGATTCAGAATCCCACATTCATAGTCCATCTGTATTTCTGTACAAACCCCCTTATTTCCAATAGATGCTTTTCAAACTGTTAACCCCTCCTGTTCTGGCTATAAAATATTAAGGCCATAAACAAAAGACACCAAAAATTTGGTTTTGAGGAAAAAAAATTTTACTACTGCATTACTAAATTACAATTAACACCCTTACTGGTATGTCACAAAGTAATAAGAAAGACCGGTTGTATTTTGTACAAAAAATGAAGGCTCACGAAGCTATTTTATGGTCTGTATGTATTATATCACTACATAACATGCTTTTACATTTAGCTTAGTGTTTAAGCATGCTGAAGAACAGCAGGCAACTTTAACTTCATGTTGGAACACATAAATGATATAAGCACAAACATCATCATATTTGGTAAGAGATATATTAAAATTTTAGGAAGCTTTTTGGTTCAACCAATTGTGATCACAAAAATAAAAGCACACAATAAAATACATTGGTTTTGTAACCATGAAAGAGATTACTCAAAGGTTTGCAGCAGCTTTCAAGTGACCTAAGCACCAGTCTCACATCTTAGTGAAGCCAAAGCCTGCTGTGTTTTCACCTTCATCTTACTGACCTTTCGATGATCTTGAAGATTTGTTGCTGAGGAACATTTCTTATTGCACACAGAACACATCAGCTTCTTCCTAGAATTTCCTGAAACAGAAACAAAATACCACCAACATCTTAAAAAGGAAGTGCTAATAAAGAGCCTAAATATTTCCACTGACTGTGACTTTTCACAGGTCATTTGACTGACATAAGATTTTTACATTTGTATCCCATCTTCAAAGCGTTCCGTATCAGGAGTTCTCTGTGGGTGTCCAAGAAACCAGTTACTGATGGAATGTAAATCAAGAAAACTAGAACAATAAAGAAAAATAATCCCTTCCAATAGATGTTAGCACACATTACCAATCCAATATGAAGAGCAGAATTCATAACTAAAACCAACTCACTTTAAAAGTGAACAGTTGATTTCTTCTAGAAGTCAATACAATATCTTCAAAAACTTAATGCTAGAGCTTTAACAAAAACATTCCTGAAAGGAGTTAGTGCAGCAATGACCAAAAAGACTCCAAACCAAACTCAAAACCACCATTTCCCATTTTTCTCCGCTCAGAAAGCATTAAGCATTCTACTATATAAAATCACATATCACCAATGGTCTTTAACTGAACAAGACAGAGTATTTGTATTAGTACCAGATCACAAATTCAAATCTTGTCTAAAATGTAAACTACAAAACAAGCTACAGGTCAGCTACCGTATCTATTTTTCTTCCCTTTTCACAGTTGCTTTAAAAAATGACAGAGCATTTAATTCAGGTTATCAATTATTCTACCTTTTGAAATCCATTTTAGTATGTATTTTATGTATGAAAATATATCTCTACATTTCGCTAAAACATGCTGAAATGACTTCTGATCTCAAACGACCCATAGCAGCCTGCAACCAGAAACACTAGTATTTCTTAGACCATGGGGACTACATCTAGAAAAACGTCTCTTAAATCTTTAGTGTTTCCATTCTGTTGAAGCTTGATCGGGACAAAACTAAAGCAGCTAAGCAAGAAAATAACGGCTATGTATTTCATAGCCATATACCATAGCCTGCCTATGTATTTCATAGTCATACACCATAACAGAGGAATTCATATAAAATCTTATTCATTTCTAGACCATTTTATTGTCCAGTTTTAGTTCCAAATAAATAATTGTATTTCAAATTAATAGTTTGCACAAATAAATGAAAGACTCTAATAGCGGGCTTTAAGAACATACAGAATTTCAGAGCCTTTGAATGTAAACTCAGTATGCCCAGCTTAGGTCATACTGTCAGAATGGATATGTCCTCCTTAAAGAGAAATAATCATGAGGAAAGCTGCCTATGTGTACTGAGAAGACTGTGAAAGCATAACACAAGGTATACTTCTTACTATCATGTACCCTGTCAAGCGATTGGTTCAATACTTAAATTTGGAGTATAAAAAAAGGACTCAATCTCACATATACATTAGCTGTTCTAAAACTTATAAGTATTGATATATACTGATATACACATAAATACAGGAATACACTTAGTACTTTAACTTATAAGAACACTAATGAGAGCTTTTCAGAGGAGAGAAAGGTGATAGTGAATACCCGTTCACAGTTTTGGATAACAGGCAACACACGTAAAAATTCTTTCTACTTTCCCTTGCCTCCAGATAACACAGGACATGAAGGAATTCTACAAGTGTCCCTCAACAACAGTATGATTCTCAAGTGGTAAAATAAAAGCTCAGCTCATCATGCAGGCAGAGCAAGATATCCTCCAGGTGTCTGTGGTCAGTCATGCCTAGAGCGATCATTCAAGAGAATTGTGGAATTTATGTATACCTTTACATAACCTACCAAAGTTAAGCCTAAACATAGCAATGTTCATGCACGAAAATAATTCTTACGGATACTGAAAAAAATGAGATAATCTTTTATAAGAATGCTAATGGAAGGGTTTCTGTACTCTGTAAGAGTTTGGCAGAAAAAAGATTTCATGTAGTGAAAAATCTTACAAAGCATCTTAGTGCTGTCATCATCAACTAAAGATTGTTCTTTGCACTCTGCCATTCTGCTGTCCCCAGACATACTGATCATCCATTGACATTGAGAGGGGACATGCAGAGAGAGCAGAGTGCCAGAACTGAGATCTGCATTGTGGACCTGAGAGCAGTATTTTGCCCTTTCCTGAAAACAGACTGAAGTTTGAATGAAAACTATTGATTCACAGTGCACAGATATAAAAACACTAGGGCCTAAAAGGAATAGAGGATTGTCTGGCCTGGCTTCCTGCACAACAGAGGCTACAGAATTTTATGCAATACCCTCATCAAGCCTAATCGTTTGTGAAGCATGTCTTCCAGAATAACATCGCATTGTGTCCTGAAAATACCAAGAGATCAAGAACTCACAACTTCCTGTACAGTTCGCGTCAGTGGTTCATTTTCCTCACTACTGAAATATATCTGTTATTCACCTAGTTTAAACTTCCCCAGATTCCTATTACATTTTCTGCAGTAGACAAATTATTTATCTCATATACAGTAATTTCTCCCTGGGGGAAGAGGAATACTCACTCTTGCAATTAGTTACTACTTAATTTTCTTTTTGATAAAAATGAATCCACTGAAAAAGAAACCAAAGACAATGTTTACTCAGATTTGCAAATTTAAGGCTAGAAACATGTTAGAGGGTTTTTTTCCCCAAAGAAACATTAAACTATTTCTTACCACTGTGAACGTTTTCTTTATGTTTTTTCAGGGCATCCTTACTCTTGAACCTCTTCCCACAGCTATCTGCCTTGCATATGAATCTGGCATCCCCTCTGCATGCCTCCTTGTGCTGTTCATAACTATATGGGATAACCAGAAAAAAAACAAACACAATCAACACATGAAGCAGTATCTACAGAAACGAGACACATAGCAAGGACTCTGAGCTTAACACATGCTGCACTGCAGAGTTCCAAGGCCACCTCATGCATTACTTACAGCAAACAGGAATGAAAGCATTTGACTTCTTTCACTGTTAGGATTCACATAAACTAACAAGCTTGAAAGATAACATGCAAAGGGAGGCCAGCAATGATACGACAGTTGTCCAGTAACTCAGACACAAAACCTCGATTCTGAGCTGAAGGAACTATTGCAAACAGAGCACTGAAAACTTCTTGAAGGGTCTCCCGGGCTGATACTCTCTGTGCACTGCAGTACGCTAAAGAAAAAAAAAAATAGTTAAGGGCAACATTTTACAACTTAAACAGGCTTGCAATAGCTAAAAACATATATACAGCTCTACAAACATTTAAGTAGGTGAGTAATCTACTTGATATATGAGATCTCCTGGAATTTAGTGGGACTAATCAATTGCATAAACAGCAAGATTCAGGATCATACTGCTGTATCCTTACACAGATTAATCTTACCTTGCGTGATGTAAAAATTGGCTTGTGATTAAGCCAAGAGAAATAAATTACTGAATTAAATTTATTTAAATGATCCCTGAAAAACACTCATTTCTACTCACTGTCTTTGCAGAGCTTGTTTAACAGGGAATTTCTTTCCACAGTTTCGGCACTTAAATTCCTTTTCCTCACTGGGTTTTTGGTGCAAAGTCTGAAGATGTTCAGCTAGAATCTCCTGGCTGGCAAAACTGGATTCACAGTTTGGGCATGCATGGTCTTCTTTACAGGTGAGAGAATCTGTGTGATTGGGGACAAAAACAATAAAGGAATTGCTTTCAGGGCATATTTTGGTTACATTAAGAAAGACTCTGCCAGAAACAGATTAAGCAAAATGGCATCACAAAATTCACAAGAGACATTGTCTTTCAACAGATTACAGACATCCTACCTTGAGTGGACTACCATCAGCATTATCAAAAATGGATTAAAAGTATTAAGTTGGGTGTGACTTAGTCATCCAGGTTGCATTTACTTTGATAAAGATGCTGAGAATTCACTGGACAGCTCAGGTCACCTGCCTTTCCTTAGACATCTTCACTCAGGATTGGCTGAACAGCTTTATGAAAAGGTTTATTTCTCCACCATCTAAGTAGGAGGGAAACTACCCCTCTTACTTAGAGCAAAAACTTAGCTTTCATAAGACTATAGTCAGTTGAAATGAACTCCATCTTTAGTTCAAAAAATTGATGGTAACTTCTCATGAAACCTAGGCTCACTCATTCACTCAGTAACTCACAGGACTGGCTGTTTCTTATTAGGCAAAAAAAAGAACCTCAACTCAAACCAAAATAAAGAGATAAAAATCATATAGGAGCTAAGACTAAACCTGGGGAGCCTTCCAGTTCACCAATCCTATAGTTAGTGTTCTCTTTCTTCTTTGTTACTACTTTTAAGTTCTCAACCCTACGTACTTGTACTTAAAATATATTGTACTTGCTGTATTTTCTCTTTAGGTGTTGGTGGCGAGCGTTTCTCCTAGATAACTCTGAACACACTTTCTTATTTTTAGTGCCAGTGAAATACTGCTGGCATAATTGCTCACCTGCAATTTTTTCACCAGCTGGTTGCACTTCTTTATTGCTGCCACTGTCTTCATCTTCCTGGATAACAGTTACTTCTTCTTCGTCCTCCTCTTCTTCCATGTCACTGTCCAAGTACCCTATCAGAAGTTCTGTGTCTGTTTCAATATCTTCCACAGCCAGATAGAAAATATTTTCCCCTTCCTGTTGCGAACAGTAAGTAGGAGCAATAAATAACTATTGTCAGAAAAAGTAAAATCTAGAGACAAGTATGGAAACCTGAACTAACATTAGCCCTCAACTACAGAAAGGCTGGCTCCATTCATCAGGTAGAATGATGCTGGAACAGCCTGAGACTTCTTTCCCAATGTGGCTGCACGGATAGTGTCCTTGTATTATGGTATTCTGGAAATAAGCCCCTGCCTCACCTGTGAGGCTTTTCCAACTTGCACTGTAGCCTAGACCAAGGTCAAGGTACTGTTAAAGTCTTCCTCACCTGCTACACTCTGCCTGAAAAGAACTTCAGAGTTTGAAAATGAAACATTCAAGTATTAGAAAAACAACAAGTACAACTTCAGCTCTGTCTCCTGTTGGCTGTATGAATTATAATCCAGTTTTCAGTAGCATGTTTACACAGTGTTTTCTCTCTCTAAGATTCCCAACCTTCTTCATGAACAACCTTTCAACCCCGATTAGTCCTCTTCACTATCAAGTTAGCAAGCACATCTGTAAAACACACTTTAAACCACTAGATCAAAACCCTCTGCTGGTTTATATCAGTGTAGATTGACAGATCCACAGAAGGCCAAAGATCCAGCCCAGATTCTGCATGAGAGGACAAACTACATAATAATAAGCTCCCAAACCTTCTCGACAATGAATGAACAAGCTTCCAAACAGATAAACAGATACATAGGCTAACAACTTTGGTCTTTGACAATGTTTAAGTAAAGTTACTTAAAGTAAGTAAATCCTACCTTAGGATACCTAACCAACTGCTTTAGGTACTACCTGAAGCACCAAAGGAGACTCACTTTTACATAATTAAGACTTCCAAGTTCTATCATAAATCTTGAAGTTAATCAGATAAACTTCCAGAAGTTAATTGAAGCTTCTTGAAACTACATCTAGCCATACATTTTGTAACAAGCTTCATAGCACAAGGACAAGATAATGATTAATTTCTGTAACATATTAATTTAAAATGTCAACAGGAATGTAGTATTCCTCAAGCTTTAGAAAGAACGTCTGTTATATATTACATGAGATACTGTCACACAGGAGTGAAACCTATTTAATTGAACAGACTTGATATAGCTGCTGCTTTCAAGGACACACCACTTTTCTGTCCTTATCTCAACAGCAGCATTTGAAAACAAAAGAAATTACATTTATTTTCCAAGATATAGTCTGCAGTCCAGATATCAGCATGCCACCCTAAGTTTTGCATACATCTAGAAACTGCTGTTTTTCATATGCTTCTGACAAGTTGCAGAGACCTTTAATTTACTAGAGTCTAAAGTGAAAACAAATTGTGTACTGAAACTGTGACACAAACAAAAGTAAAAGGTCCTTCTACACTCAGTCTCCACTTAACACAGGACAAAAGCACCGGGATAAACCTCCAGTATACAACTATTTGGGACCACTTTATTCTAAAAGCAATACAACCTTATAAATGGAAGCACATACCTATTAATGGTTAGCAAAAAAAAAAAAAAACCACCAAAAAAAAAAAAAAAACCACAAAAAAAAAAAAAAAAACCACAAACAAACAAAAAAAGACAAACAAAAAATCCCACAGAAAAAAGAGAAAAAAAGAAAAGCAAGCCATGTATCCCAGGTAAAAATAAAGTCCCAAACTTAGTCATTAAAGAACCAAATAGCACACCTTTCAATAGATCATGTGACATCTTACACCACACAGTAAATCCAGGAGAACGGCAACCAGACCTCAGGTTAACCTAGAGAATGTGCATGAATCCCAACAACCAAGCTCTTATCAATACTGCTGCCTCTTCAACATCTCTGCACTTCCCTTACGTGCATCTGGGGTTTATTTTATATTATTATTTGTGTCTAAAAAGATCCTGGTTCTTCCCCATTTGTGTACTTTTGGTTAGTAAAATGATTAATAGAAGTACTAAGGAGACTCAGTGCTTGAGTGATCTTGGCTGCATTTGCATCGAAAAGAAATTACCTTTTGTGCTAACCCAAACCAGAACACAGCTCAAACTCACTCCTCCTCCAAGGCTAATTTGTTAGGCTTTTGCAGCCTAACAAATGTTAATAGTCAGGTATTTGCACTAATTAATCCAGCTACACCCACACTGTAGTAGCTCCTCAGGCAGCATTTTCAATGAAACCAAGGGAAGTTCCCCAGAAACCACAAAGGAATTTCAGTCTCTCCCTCCACCAGCAGCACCTGAATGAAATATGTTTATCTACATGCATGCAGACATAGACACAGTGAACGTAGTAAAAAAACCTTTCAAATAACTTTAATCATCCTCCCATTTATTAAGAACACATCTGCAGTTGCTCCACCTGCCCATCTCCTTCAGCCATGCTGGATGTTTTGTTAATAGCATTCATCTGCAGCAGGCCACACTGGTCCTTGGGAGAAAACTCAAAGTACTGGTCATGGTGACATCACAACCTCCCTTCACCCTATTCCTGGTTTATTATTCCACTTGGCTTCTCTCACACTCTGCCTTGACTATCATCTTTTAAGCTGTGGGCCACAGACCTGCCCAGCAAATACAGTTTTTGTATTTCAACAGCTCTTGCTGTCCCATTTTTGCTCCACTACAGGCACCTCTCTCCCATTCAGATTCTTGGCATTTTCACTCCTCCTACTTTTGTGTCATCAGGAAACTTGCTGCAGGTACACCCAGCCCCATCATCCAGAACATTTCTCTTTTGATTCACACACTCTTCAACTAGTCCACGACATCCTTGTACAAATCTAGCTCGAGAATACTGCTTTCAGCATGCATCTGTTGCAGAGGACATTAACCACCCACTCTAACAGTAACACCAATTCTCATGCCATTCTTCATTTCCAGTGCATCACAGGAGTGACCCTGCATTTTTTATACTTTTTGAGAAAGCTTAGTTTGACCAAAACTTAAAACCAAAGCTTAGCTTGAGGACATCACATGAGTAAATTAGTAACAGGAAGCAAATGGTAGGAATGCACCAAATCTACCTGGATGGCTGCCAGGTTCTTCTGTTCTTGGGATGGAGCCTCATGAACAAAACGCAGCCAATTAGAATGGCGTGGATTGCTTGCATCCAGGATGTAAAGGACTTCACCTTTACTCCCACGAACCTGAAACATTAAAAAAAGAAATCAAGCAAAATTAAAATTGTTTACTAAACACTCACAACACATGTAAAACACTAAGGCATTCTTGTGCTCAGCAAGTGACTCTTACATTCAACAGGTACTCACAGCTGTATTGCATATCCACCTTTTTCCTTTAAGCATATTTATTCACCTCAGAACAGGGGGGACAACTCAAATCCAGCAACTGGTGTCAGCTTCCTTTGTTGAGCTCCCCCTCTCTTTTCTTAGCCTTTCTTTTAGTGAAGAAGTAGTACGACTAACTCCTGGTCACCCTAATCTAACAGTACGGTCACTGGTGTTCATGTTCTTTCCGCTCTCTTTGTTCATTCAAGTCCTCTTTTTCTTTATGATCTTGCCAGAAACCAATACAACCTGAGAGGTCCTTTCCCATTACAACCCTATCATCCCTTTTACAGCTTTCCTTTCTGTCTTCTCCTTCACTTGTTCAGATGCCAGCATTTTACTCCTACAGTCTACCTAAGTCTTCTCATACCTTCCTGTCTTTTGACATTCAATCTGTCTCTCATCACTTTCTCCAAATTAAGGTTATACACTCTCCTGTCTCCAATTCCTTTTCCTTGCCTCACAACTCACTACTATTGTCCTATCTTCCTTCTCCAACACACTGTCCAAGAGCAGACCATTTTCTTCTGTAACCTATACGTGTCCTCTAACTCGCTCCTCAACTTGCTTTGCAGCATTTCTCTTCTGCTGACACTACAGACAAGGCCAACAGTAACTTTCTTCAGGACAAAAAGGACAAGACATTCTCTAATCTTGCACTATTCTAACCACCATTTGTTTCCAACTCCACTGAGTTCAGACTCTTGTTCATGAGTTTCTGTATTCCTGCAATTACTCATGTCCTCTCGGTGATCTTTGCCTTAATAGTTCTTCACCCTTCACTTTCTTTTTTCATACTTGATATTCTTCTAGACTCACTCATTCTTTGCTTATCACGTTCTCTCGGTAGCAGATCCTATTCACCCTCTGCGACCAATTCCTAAATCTATTTCTGCCTAGTTTCACATCTCAGCCTTACTTAGGAACCATTACAAATGGAACATGTCCATCTCTGAATTCAACTTTTCCACTATCCTTGCCGCTCACCTCTTCTATACCCTTGCCAGTTGCTCATCCAGCTTCCAAGGCCAACCCGAATTATCAGTTTTCTCCATTCCCATTCCACTACTCCATCACTAAAACCTGTTTTTGTTTCATCACCAGATATAAAACTTTTCTTCATCATATAAATTCCAAATTCAATAGATATTTTTTCATCACTGCTAACTCTTACTGCCCCACACCAATCCTATATATCCCAGAAACTTATAAAACACTTTATGTGTGGAGATCTGTCTTCAGATCAAGGACCAATATAATTGCATTTATAAATTCCATACATCCTATTTTACAGTTCAGTTGAATATCTTTCATATATGCCTCTTTAAAGGAAATTCAAATATATAGCCTCAGTGAAGAAGATAGAGAGCCATGCAAAAAGGTCATGTAGTCACACTATTATTCCATGCGATTTATTTATATAACCAACATATTTTCCTTTCCATCTGTCAACAGGAAGTACCCAGAGTAGGTATTTCCTAAGAGCTAGGGATTTCAGCTATGTAAGATCAAAATTAGATTGTCTTCATGGCTTTGTATTTAAATTGCTCACATTCTTGCTGTATTTGTTTCTAACAGATGGAGTATCATATGTCTTCAGTATGACTGCTTAAATTACCTAAACTTTTAGGATATCATTAAAAAAAATGTATTCCATTAAATAATAGCTGGTGACAGCATGTTGTTCTCAGATTAAAATAAAAAACTACTGTAGTTTTGCAAACAAAAGTATTCAAAATTTATGACTGCTCTTCCAAAGGAAAGCATAATGAAAAACCGACAATATTTCAAACTTTAAAAGTCGATTTTACTTTCAAACACACAGATTAATCACAGTGAAACATGTCAAACCTACATATTTAAATGCACCTGGAAACAACACTATCCAACCCTAAGCACTGCAATGGGTTTCCCACAGACGTTATGTAGTCTCAAAGATGTAGATACTCAAAAGCTGTCTATAGACCAGTCCTGAGCAGCTGGCACTAGGTGGCCCTGCTTGAGCAGAGGGCTTGGACCAGATGACCTGCCTGCTGGTTATCAGAACCATTGTTTTGCTAAGGCTGTGATCACCTCCTGAAAAGCCCACCTGCCAAGCAGAAGTGCTGCATCGATTATACTGTAATAATTATCCAGTTGTAAATATGCAATCCACAGAGCAGAACTTCACTTTCTTTGAGTGAAAATGGTTATCACTGCAGATTAACATCTTTGAGTAATTAAAGTCTAAGAACTATCTTATTGAGAATCAACACAAAAGATATCACTGAACTAATTTAGTCAAGTATCTTCACAGTACGATGATTAACTGACATACAGTGTTACCACACCAGGCATTTTACCTCAAGATCACCAGGACATCATTGAATTATGCCACATTAACAAACACCGTGTCACTATACAAGTATTCAGAAAAAAATGTGCCCCTAGTCATTGTATAAGCTACCATATGAAACCCTGCACAGTCCTAAATAATGTCTAAGCTGTTTATAATGCCCGTGAGCAACATGCACTACTCCATCTGCTAGCCTTTTATGCTGCAATGAAATTATCTCCAGATTTTCAAAATGCATCCAAAGTTATCATGTATGCTACTTCAAAATGCTCATGAATTGCAAACACTCTACCATGCACACCTGGCAAGAAAAGAAGAAAAAAAGAGTTCACTGAAAATAAGCAGATGGTTATCTTTGCTGAAGGCAGTAAACACGCTACCTGCTTTCTGGAAACCATTTTCTAAACATTTATAAATCTAAAAATCTATGTTCATTCAAACAATCATATAAAGAAAAGTACCGTTTTCTGCATTGCATTTTTTATTAGCTGAAAACATGATTTTTATAGTTAATAGTGTAAAACAGCTAGATGCAATACTTCTGCATCCTCAGTTTCAGACCTCTGCCACTGAGCTCACTATACAGTAGCCACTCACACTATAACATCGCTGTAGAAAGTACTAAAATAGCACTTGCAGAAGAAACCTGAGGCAGCATCTGTTGATTTGCTTACTGACTAAGAAGTATTGGGACACTGACAACACATTACATCTTTCTTCAGACAAAATATAAAGCAAGTTTTCCATGTTACCAAAGCTCCTGCCGGTGCATGACATTATTTGACCTTGTCAGAGACAGAATGGTTCAGAAAGCTCATTCCTAGACTTCTGCGAACATTTTGTGGAGCTTTCCCAAGAAGGGTTGAACTTCACATTCACTGGAAGGATACTCTAACCTCCTTATGCAAGTTGTGTCTGATCTTCTATAACAAGTTTAGATTAGAATACTAGCACCTCAACCTATCAACATGTACTTTTTAACATCTTAAATAAATCGCACAACTGAAGAGGCTAACATTCTCAAGTCACTTGCAGGAGTAGATTCTTCTCATTACCAAAACCAGAAGACCATTAGGGTGCCTGTTTCAAAAGTAATTAAAATTAATACAAAACCATACACTTAATGTGAATAAAGATGACTAAATCAAGCTTTAAAAGAGTTTATGAATAAAATCTAGCTAAATAAACAAACTGGTAAGAGTATTAATAACTACTTTGGACACCTATCCATCCTAGTGGGGATTAATTTAACAAAATTGAAAATCTAGGACGTAAACTTGCAACAGAGATAGGACAACATCACTGGAAATTCTACCATCAGTGTCTGTTATGTTTGCAAAAGTTATTGCAAATGCAACTTGCTTACAAATGCATCCAAGTGCATTTGTCTAAGGAACGTGACGCTCAAGGACAGCCTTGGCTGCAGGGACCACCAAATGCTGGAGTTCAAGATCTTTATGGTGGCAAGGAGGGTGCACAGCAAGCTCACTGCCTGGACTTCAGGAGTGCAGACTTTGGCCTCTTCAGGAATTGGCTTGGTAGAGTACCATGGGAAAAAAGCCCTGGAGGGAAGAAGGGCCCAAGAAAGCTTGTTAATATTCAAGGATCACCTCCTTCAAGCTCAGGAGTGATGCACAGCAACAAAGAGGAAGTCAGGCAAAAACACCAGGAGGCCTGCATGGATGAACAAGGAACTCCTGGACAAACTTCAACACAAAAAGGAAGTCTACAGGGGGTGGAAGTAAGGACAGGTAGCCTGCGAGGAATACAGAGAAATCGTCCAAGCAGCCAGGGATCAGGTTAGGAAAGCTAAAGCCCTGATAGAATTCAGTCTGGCCAGGGACACCAAGGGCAACAAGAAAAGCTTCTATAGGTACAACCTGGTCTAGTGGAAGGGGTCCCAGCCCATGGCAGGGGGATTGGAATTTAATGATCTTTAAGGTCCCTCCCAACCCAAACCATTCTATGGTTCTAGGAAATTAGAAAACCAAAAACATTTCTGAAACTTATACAAAAATTCACACAAAAACATTAAAAGCAAACTATTTTTAATGTAAATACTATCTGAAAAGTAACAACTGGGAAGGCAGTTTTCATACAGAAAAAATAAAAATTACATTGCTAAGAACTAGATTACTAATATCACATTAATCTTGAGAGCAAACACAGAATTCCCCAAATTAAGATTTACTTTATCATGAAATTCAGGACATAATTCAACTTAATGCCTTGTATGTAAAAGCCTTCCTATGCCAGAATCGCATTTTACAGGCAAGATATCAAAGAAGAAGAAAAAAAAAAAAAAAAAAAAGAAAAAGAAACACACCACCATTACATTAAAGTGCTTGACTTCTCAAACCTCAATCTGGACATTAAAGCTCTGATCTAAGGCTGGTTGTAGCCAATAACACATTTTCTGTTGCCTTCACCAGTTTTCAGGCAGGCTTACGTAACTGAGAACAATTGTCACCACAAAAGTGTTGAGAGTTAAGTAGTAGAAACATAAGTTTCATTTCATTTTCTAATATAAAAACATGAGGATTAGCTTCCACTGAAACACTTATTTCCAGCATGTTTCTGTTCTTCTTGATTTTAACATAACAAAGAAGAAAACATAATCTTGGCAGACAGACAGAAACCAAACCTGAAATATGTAACATTCAGCGTTACACAGTGCATTATGTGCCAGCCAATCCTGACCAACATTTCTTCACGGTATGTCAGAGTATTTGAAGAAGGAATAAGTCTTTCCAGACCTCTCTGTTTTAATATCTGCCGAAGTCATCACCAAAAGTATATGCTCACCACAATCCAATAGTAGTGAAATGAATGCCACTTTCTTGGTTAGCGACAATAAAGAAAATAAACTGAACAGGTATCTTCCCTTTGCAAAAGGACATCTGAGCCTCCAGAGGCAAAAACCTTCCGTGAACTTTAATACCTAAAGATAATTCTGTCCTTACCTTAAAGCACTTGCTCTTCCAGCAAATACACATAATTTAAAATTGCTATTCCAAGTATACTAATACAGACAATTAAGGCAGTATTTAATCAAGGCATCAGTAGGACACTAAAAATAAGAACAAAACTCTCAGTTCATCACCAGCAACTAGCTGCATACTTAACTAGCACAACACATAATTCAGTCTGATAGATAATGGCACTAGGGCTGAGAGATAACAGAGAGGCAGGCTTTTTTGACAGAAAGAAAGAAAAAGCACAAAGTAACTCCTAAATACATGGTTAGCACAGGTTTGACATTTTTTCCCTTTCGTATCACTTGTAAATAAAATATTTCAGCATGTAGCTCTTTATAAATGTAACAGCAAGATCAAGGATGCTCCCCGCCTCCCCAGTCCTCTGGAATGAGCAAGTGTAAACCTTTGATTTCTTCAAAACTATGCAATTTACAGGCAGACTAATATCATTCTGCTATTTTTAACTTAAACACAATTTCTCACACCCTCAGAACTTTATTTAAAAAAATCACTGGACCCAATAAATTCTTCTGGGTTCCATGTTTTCCCCAAGACCAAAAATAACATGTACAATTCTGTCTCAAGACAACATCTGAAAGATGCCAACTCACAATGCTGGTCTCAGAGAAAAAAAGGAATAGCTTGATCAAAACAGACCACATCACAGACCAGTACTCTACACCACTAGAAATGCATGTGGTAAGCTTCCTTCCATAAAACTATTCCACAAAATTGAAGCTCAGATCCCAGACATCACATACCAAGAAAAGAAATGTTCCGCTAAAATTATTTTTTTACTTGACTTATGAAAAGCCTTTACTACTTAGCCTCCTTTCTATGGTGTTCTCTCTGAAAACGCTTTTTTTTGACTGCCATCAGACTATGAGGTCAGGCTCTAGTGTGCCTTTATCCAATAGTCTTCAAAGTAATTATTTTTAATATTTGGTACAACTAACTATGCACAATCTTGGCTGGTTGCTGTGACTGCCTCCCACAGTCTCTGGAATAACTATCGACTTGGACCGTTCAGCTTTTAACTTTCTGCATTCCTGGTCTCCATTTTCAACTTAAGACCACTTTCAGCACGATTTAAATTACATTATAAAGCTCACATTCAGATCAACTTCAGTAAACACGAACAACTTGGGTTCAAATATTGAGGAAGTCATAAAATTTGGTATGCAGGAATCTTTTCAAGGCTCTCAAAACTAGGTTACAGTAAGATATTATGAAGTGGGCTTAGAACAGCTCATAAAAACTCATTTTCTGCTAGCTGTCAATGGGGTCATATTAGTGTCATCAGTAAATACATGTATTTGCCTTTTATTTTCTGTCTTACAAAAACAGATAAATCTCATCTAGTCATCAGCAATGAGGCATCTGGAAAATCATAGAGCTTTCCAACAATCTTCAGTTAAAGACCTTCTCATTGCTATAACCCATCCACCATCCCTTCCAAAAACCTTGTTCTAGCTCAAGTATTTTAATGACTTAAAATAACCTGCAGAAACATCATGAAAAAGCAAGTGAGCCAGGGCACACTATCACGTACTGCATTCAGCAAACATTTGTAAAAAAAGTACATTGTATGATTTTGGTTTCAGCTATGAACAAAGAAGATGAAACCAGTTGCTCTGAGAACATAACCAAGGCAGAGAGAGCGGAAGGAACTGTCCACACTTATTCTCCGGGAAAGGCTATTTCAGGCACACCCCCAGATTAAAAAAGAAAAAAAAAAAAAAGAAGAAAAAAAAAAGGGGGTGAAGGGGGAAGGAAGGTATGAGCCGACACCTGTTGATCAGCATAGATCAGTATCTTGGTAACTTACAGTCATCTTCCCATATTCAAATTATTTTAACTCTTTTTTTTCACTTTTTTTTAATTTTCACATTTGCCAATAATTTCTCACAGTGTTGTTATATTTTAACGTTTTTACTGACTTCATATTTTTCACACTTCATTGATTAAAAACTACCATTTGCTATTTCTTTATCATTTTAAAGAATTCAATCCCCCTCTACCCAAAAAGCATATTTTAAAGGCATCAATAAGTACAAAACCTCTCTACATATCTTTAACCTTAGGAGGAAAAAAAAAAGGATTCGTTACAGTAAAAACTTAATTCTGAGAACATTTTTTGCTAGGTGTAATGTCACTCTAGACTACTCACTTCCCACATGAGCCTGCAGTCCGTGTTATCATCCAGTTCTTGCGGCATTCGTTTCTCCCCTGCAAAGGGGCCAAATTTTTCACCCTAAAGAATAATTATAGAGGAAAAAGAATCAGTGGAGGAGAAAAAACAAACAAACAAACAAAAAACCACACAAAACAAAAACAAGTGAATTACCAAACTCCAGCAGAGGTATCATTTTTACCTTCTAATGGAAAAGGACAGTTTTCCTTTGTCATCCTACTATACGCCAAGAAGGTGTGCATCCTTGAGGGTTCAACTTCAAGCTCATTGCCATTCTTTTAATAGCTTGGAGAATCTCTTAAAACCATACCTTTCCTCTACATGCTTATCTCTCCTTTGGGAAACAGTATTTTTCTTTATTTTAAATAATGTTAAAATTTACAAGTCAAATTTTCTTACATTTCTTATAAGATTTTCAGGAAGCACCTTGCAATAGACATCCCACTAAAATGTAAAGTATTTGTCAAGCACAAAGTTTACATTAGATTTATTTGCAAGATTATTTGCAACACTACTTTTTGAAGTGCCACAAATCAAAACACTGAATAACTGAGGTTTTGATCATAGAGAGAGATTCATTTAAAAACATAAGGAGTATGCACATGTCTAGGAATTAATTCAAGCCTTCATAAACAAAATTAAGACGTTATACCACCTGCTAGTCAAAACACATGCTGTGAAAGCATCCATTGATATATTCTTCCAAAAGTTTTGGGTATTGGTGGTTTTTTTTCCTTCACAGATGTCACGCTAGCAGTAGGGTAAATTATTTAACTAGGACTTTCTTCTTACACAGGCCTAACTTTCTGCCCCTCCCTTGTCCTTATTTGCAATGACAAGCCCTACAAACCAGAATGTGGCATGTTATGTTCCTTTAGGTAGTATTCAGATCGAAAAGCTTTATATACTTTTAAGCATTACAGATTATAACTGTATAATGAAAAGCAACTTTGGTATTTCTTTAAAAGTAAGTGTCTTGGCTAATAAATGTATCGATCTTGTCTACATGTCCCCTCCCCCAGGCACATTCCATATTCCAGAAACAGCTTGCTACATGTTTTCCCTCTTGCTTAGTTTTTACAGACTGACTACAGGTAGAGTGGAGAGGAAGGAGCGGAACAGAAAATTTGCAGGATCATTCCTCTTATAAATATAATAGACTATAATCTAGGTTAGTGCTCTAGAAAGAAAGAAAAAAAACTCCATAAATTTAATAGGGAAATTACCTGAAGAAATAAAGAATAACGATCCTGAAAAAGCTAGTCTCCCACACTCACTTCAGCAGCAGAATAACAATTTTTAAAACAGCATAAAGAGATTTATTTCTCCTAAGTACTTAGGAGGTTTCCACACCCCTCACCTCAGTAATACTTTCCTCCTTACAATACATAGGATCCCTAGGTACCTTATATAAAGCACCTATAGGGTTAATTTTACCCATCAATGAAGTACACATCACCTCTGGGATGAAACACAGCAACAGCCTAATATTGCATACTGACTCAAAACAAGAAACACCATGCATCATTCCTCCCTCAGCTACTCCAACTGCAATAGGTTTAAGACCTTCTAGAAGCTCAAAAAAACAGCAAAAGCAAAAAGCAAGATGTCCACCTCTAATGTAAAGTGAATGTAACATGAACAGAAGGTGATTCAGACTTCTAAGCTTCTCAAATTTGGACAAAAAGCTGAAATTAGAGACAGACATAAAGGTCTGTGGAGATACATGTAACTATTCATCCAGCTTTCCAGAGCATTTTCTTCTTATATGCGTATTTTTATTAGTCCTTCTTAATAAACATGTTGTCATACCAATATATATTGATCAAAAGCATAATAAGATTTCAAGTTCTTCTCTGATCCATAGAAGCAAGGCATACAACACAGTCTAAAGTCTAAAACCACAGAAATTATTCAAGATACGAAAGGCACATCATTCAAATGTCAAAAAAGCCATTTTCAACAGTTGCTTTCAAGAAAGCAGTAGTGACTAATCTTCCAGTTGCAGGAAAACACTGAGCACTGTCATGGCTCACTCTGATGATTATACCAAGAGTCTTACCATACTGGTGCTGTAACCAAAGGCCAGCCGTTGGAGAAAAGAAATTACAAGAGAATCACAGCTTTTGTTAAGGTAATGAAACAAAAAGTTTCCACCTCTCACGATTAGACAAAAGCTTGAAAGCACAGCATAATGCCTGAAGGCACAAAAGCAGATGGCAAACAGTTCAAAATGTATTATTACCTACACTTTGCTTACAGCAGAATTTTCAGAAGCCTGCTTCATGATTACTTAGCACTTGTAAAGTTGGTATTGCAATTTCTGATTGCAATTGTAGAAATGTGTGACAGCAATAGAAAGAAAATGGTGCAGTATTTGCTACTCAGGAACAGAGATCTTACTTCACAATTAAGTGTCTTATTCCCAACCCCAAAGCTCCAGGGAAGTAATTTAACAGCTATTAGCTACTCCATATCGTAGCCATGAAGTGTAGTACTGTTGCCTCATTACTGGACAGGCAAACATGTTGAGAGCGCTTCAGATGCTCTTTTTCTTTCCATGGAAAAGCAAAGTCTGTCTGTCACACGCATACTTTTGATCAGGGCTTTGCTTACCACGTGTCTGTGCTACCTGCACAGAGGATTCACTGCCAAACAAAAGACAAGACTGTAACCAACACTGTCACCAGACACTCCTAATACAAATAGACTTTACTATCACCGCCTCTGCCTTTACCTTCTGCGTTCCATACGCAACGCATGCCACACGTGCAATACCTCAGTTTGGCTAGGGTATCCTGTATGATGCGCTCACCCTGGTAGAGCTGCGTAGGCAAAGCTCTGACAGCATATATTTTGCCTGTATGAAAAGAATTTAAAAGCACCTTGGAGTACTTCAGGCAAGAAAACACTGTTTTTCCTAGCACACAGCTCTAATGGTTCAACTGACAACAGTGTGAAGGAAGGGGACTCAGACCCTGAACTCTGAATTGACATTCAGAACTGAAACTGACACACAAGTGACAATTTCAGTGAGCTCGCTCTATTTCAGAGTCCACTGATTCAGATATGCTAGTAGTATACAAACCTCCTTGTTGTGTGAACTCAGTTTTCAAATGAAAGTTCAGAACCTCAGTGGAAAAAATTTAAGTCAACTAACACTAAATTGTTCCCCTTCCACCCCCCATTAACACTCAGGGACACCTTAAAAACGAGAGGCCTCTACCCCATGGTGTCTAAGCCTTGTTGTCAAAACCGCTGAAAATTTAGGGAGCCCTCCCAAGGCACTCAAAGACAAAACCAGGACAAAGATAGAAAGCAAAACATACAAAATACATATAAGTGTATACTAATACTGGGTTCATAACTTCAGGCATGCCTTTATCTGTTCAAACAAGCCACCTGAATAGCTATAATTAGGATTTCAGATAACCAAGAGACTCCCAATTCAGTTACGAGGTGTCAAGGAACATGACCTGCCTGGGGTACAAGAGACCTGCAGTTTATCTGCATCACATCTTTCACAGGCCCGGCTTTATTACCCTGAAAGGCTGAATTAAATCATCCATCCCACCGAGCTCTAAGAGCAGGGAGACCACAGGAGCCTGCGGCCCACGGGCAGAGGTGCACGGCGCTCTGAAGCCAGGAGATAACTGCGGAGGCAATCCGGTCCGGAGGAGCTCTGCCCTCAGAACAGCGCCAAAAACACACAAAAGAAAAAAGGAAAACAAAAATTCACGAGGAA